GGCTCTGCCTATGTAGAGGCAGAGCCAGCTGTACCCGCCCCCTCCCCCGTCCGTTCCGCTAGTCAGCGCTGGCGGAGCAGGGAGAGGGGAATCCAGCCCCTCCCCCTTTCACGGCAGAGAGCCGTGACAGGATCGAGAGGCAAGCGAACCCGGTATGTGTTCGCTCACTTCCCGATCTACTGAGCAGACCTGTAACAGTCTCATTGTCACAGGTCGGCTAGAACTATGATGTGAATGGAAATCACTCATCTCATAGTTCTCCTTTAATGTAATTTCAAAATTCCTTTTCAGTTACATAGTTACATGGTTACATAGTATTTGAGGTTGAATAAAGTCACAGGTCCATCAAGTTCAACCCATTGAGTATCTCTAAATCTGCAAGTTATTATTATACGGTAATACCTGTGATCCTGCCAGGAAGGTCCTTGTTCAGGCACTTCATCCCTTTCTCCCACTTCTGCTCCTTCGTTGTCACCCTGTCCTATGGATTCTGGATGAACACTTCAAGTGGCTGTTTCAACTGTTGTCGTCATCATCAGGAAATCCGCCCTGAGAAGCGATTAAAGCCAAGGAGTCTGCCTAATAGGCAACTAGCATTTTCAGGAGAACTTGGCAATGGCAACCTCCACCTCTCATGACAACTTTATTCAATATTTATTACAAAAAAACTATGGGGGGGAGTTATCGAAACTGGAGCAGACAGAATCTGGAGCAGTTGTCCATAGCAACCTATCAGCATCTCTCTTCAGTTTGAATATGAGACAGAGAAACTGAATGGTTGCAGTGCAAATCTAAAAATTCTGAATCCAATTGTTGAAATGGTGATTTATCCCTCCTTGAAACCTCTATGCCTGGCCTGTATATAGCAGATACAATCACCATGGACAACCCTCTTCAGATTGCTGAACTCACCAAATACTTTTCATCCACAAAGATCTTTATTGAATGCAGCAGGTTACCGGCAGACAATAGGATGGTAGAAATGACTGTATTTGAACGTCAAAAAGGATAATGCCTTCCTCTCGTCATGTGCACATGTTGCCAGAAAATGGCTGAATGAAACACACAAAAAAAAGGCGGTGTCATATTACACAATGGGGGGAGACAGGAAAAAAAGGATGCAATAAACAAAGTAACCACACGATGGCAGCATACCAAATATAACTATACTCTGCATTGCATTGCCTTATAACTGTGAGGCAGCAAAATAGTTATGAGACAAAAAAAAAAATCAGTGCTTTTAATGCACAAGATGGTATTTGACCAGGGGATATTGCCAAAAAGACTTATTGATTTTCTGCTTTCTTGGCATCCCTATTAATTGTTTTAAGGTGATGGGTTCACCAATTATTATTATTATACAGGATTTATGTAGCGCCAACAGTTTGCACAGCGCTTTACAATATAAGGAAGACATTACAATCACAATACAATGCAAGAAAAAAAATGGTAAGGAGGGCCCTGCCCCTGAGGGCTTACAATCTAAAAATAGGGTGGATTGGTAGGGGGCAGGACTAAGCTCAGCTTTGCAGGAAAAGACCACATTTGAGACTTCAGCGGCTTATATCTCTGGATCTAATGACTGTTTAACATGCTGCTTTCACTGAAGGTAACCTTTGCTTATGCATTTTTCAGCATGTGCTCAGGTTAAATTTCCAGAGTATGTGAAAGGTTCACTTTAAATATCCCTATAGACATAAACAACCAAAAGCCCGATTTGTCATGGAAGAAAACAATCTTCCCCCAAATCCAGATTGATCTCCTTAAGAATAGAATAGTTATTATTAATAGTTTAATGGAGGCGATTTTACAAAGTATGAATTGCTGTGGTCCTGAACCAGTTAATATACCATTCCTGCATGACAGTCATCTTCACCAAGCCCAGTTTTGTCCGTGTTTGATTTTCTGTAATTCAGTACACCCTCGTATGATTCTGCACTGTAATCTCGTTTATGTATCTCTCTCTCGTTTTTTCCACTTGGGTGGAAGCGATGGCTGAAACCTGAACCCGCGCACTTTCTGGAGCAGCTGCAACCTCTGCTGCATCTCCAAAATTAATGGCGTTTAAAAGCAATCTATTATTAACAATTAAAATAAGTCGTTTTTCTTTGGAGGATTGTGATTTAGCCTTTGCTGTAAAACTGAAAAAAAAGAAATCTAAGCGCCAGCTTGGCTTCAAGCAGGGCTGTTTCTTCAGAAAGCATATTAACCCTTTCTTTGCAAAATACAAGTTAAACATTTCTGCAGCAGCCCGAATTATCTTTCACTGCTTTTATAATTCAGCAAGCACAAAGACGAACTGCAACACCTGCAGGTCTGATGGAAGAATTGCACCCTAACAAATGAAAGAAGATTTGCAAGAAAAAATAAATATCCCTTCTGTATTGTTGATTCCTTCATTCAGTGGTACAAATCCCTTTCACTCAGTTGTTTTCAGTTCTCTGTGGGCTAGAATTAAAACTTCATGTCAATGTAGTGAATGGATTTGCATTGTTTTATTATACTACCACGTATCAGCATCAGGTGGTAGTGATGCAGCTAACGTTAGTTTGTTACAGCTTCTGGTTCTGCTAAAACCTGGACACTTTATCCAGGGCCATCTCCATAGTGAGACATCCTGAGGCTGTTGCCTCAGGCGGCATCTCTTTGGGTCTCGTGGGGGATCACTGCTGCGCAATGTTTGCAGTGTGCCTGCTTGCCCCCTTTTCATCCAGAGTGTCCCAGGTCGCTAAGAGTTGGGGAGGGAGATATGGAAGGGCCATACACAGCTCCATACCCAGCTCTTGGCTACCTGGGACCCTCTGACCAGCAACCCATATAGCTCCTGGCAACAGCAATGTCAGTAATCTGGGTGGAATGCCAGCCGGAGGCAGAACTCCGTTAGTGCACCACCAGCACTACCCACCCCCCCCCTCAAAATGCACCTCCAGCAGTGCACTACCACCCGCAACACCCCCTCCCCCCCCCCGGGGTCAGGAGGCGAAAAGACAAGGGGCGCCACTAGCACGGCAGCCTATATGAATTACTAAACACCAGAGGCGTAGTGGTTAGCACTTCTGCCTTGCACTGAGGATCCCCGGTTCAAATTCGGTCAGGACACTATCTGCAAGGAGTTTGAATGATCTCCCTGTGTGGGTTTCCTCCCACACTCCAAAGACATGCTGGAAGGTTAATTGGCTCCTGTCTAAATTGGCCTTTGTATGCATGTAAGATAAGGACCTTAGATTGGTCCTTGAGGGTAGAGACTGATGTGAATGTACAGTATGTCAAGTGTTGTATAAATTGTCGGCGCTATTAAAACACCAATGATAAATATATCTTGGAATGGCACTGTACCGTTTACCTTGAAAGAGCTGGACTGTGCATCCTGGTTTGTGAAGCAGGAATGCCTGCAAATGCCGGAAATCACAATTAATACAGACACTGTGAAACATCATGTGATACATCATGGAAACAGCAGGGATGCCACAGATCTCACAGATTCCCCACTATTTCCACTGTTTTGACAAGTGCTTCAGATTGTTTCCGATTGTGTGTTTAATGGCTTTTCCAATGCAACATCAAGTACAGGCCTACAAAATTAATTTTTAAAGAGCCATTAAACCCAATTAGCAAGTTTTCAAGCTGTCATGGTTGTGCTATGGTCACATTATAAATAAAACAAAATTGTATAGCCTTTAGTAAATCATAAATGGCTTAAGTGGTATTTCATATTTATTTTTAGGATTGTCCCAGTGTAATGTTGGGCCCACAGTGAAAATAGAACGTGAATCCTAAAATCAGAGTGTATTATGGATCTTTTACTTGAAGGAGAACTCTGAGGTGAGTGATTTCCACTCATTCTCCTAGTTAGAGCTGACCTGTGACAAAGAAGCTGTCACAGGTCTGCTCTATTGATCGGGAAGTGTCACTCACGCAGCTGGGTGGATCCAGACCGTATTCTCGGGATCCGTCCCGGCTCCGTTGCTCTCAGCATATCGCAGGCAATAGTCTGCGGTATACTGAGCTTTGGGTCACGGGGGGAGGTTAGTACATGTCCTCCTGTGATCCTAAAGAGAACTATGGGGAAAAACATTTACCACATAGTTCTCTTTTAATGTCTAACGCTGGCCATACACCATACACATTAAGATTTTTCTTGTTCACTCGTTCAACCTTGTGGGCTGGACAAGCAAAATCTTTTGATTCCACCAGCCTTTCTAAATGCAGTCACTGTCCAACCAACAACTTTTCCAGACAACTGAAAAATCTATTTTTGGGTTTTGCCGACAGGGCCACCCACAGATCAAATTTTGGCCGATTCAATAGGAAGTTGGTGAAATTTACACCATATACAGGCAGCTTTTCCCCACC